AACTCTTAAGCCAAAACCAATGTAGTGGTGACACTTGTCACCTTCATAAATGCAATCTTATCTTTCTCTTTCCTCTCACATCAATCAAATCTCACTCTCGACTTATCTCTTAACACCCGATAAATTTTACACAGTATCCGAAACTTAACCTTATTGGCCGAATTTTTTCGAACTTTTCGCACTAGTGGGTCCCACGTCCATTATATATTCTTAATTTTCCAAAAACTCTCCAAGGCTAGAAAAACCATCTAAAAACTATAATTACTCATAAAAATTCCTCAGAAAATTTCCTAAACCAGGAAATGCAGAAAACATGCTATTAAAGGAAATAAAACCCTCGGAAAAGATTAGGGTTTTTTTACGGGTTCTCAAACTCTTTTTTTCCGGGGCGTCACAATCTCCCCTCCTTAAAAGAATGTCGTCCTCGACATTCCACTTGTACTAATCAGGTCGAGATATCCCGCAAGAATCACTAATATTTCAAGCCAAGCCCACAGTCCGGCATCCTAAACTTCAAGCCTAGGATACACTACAGAGATCTGAAACCTAAGCTCTGATACCAACTGTGACGACCCCACTTCTCCCAAGGGCGAACCCAAGGGTATCGGCGGGCCGCCTGCCTAGCTCGCGCCAGGACTCAAAACTTAAAGCAATCAAACGAGATAGATTGAAAGAGCACTATATACAATATATACAATCCCAAAAGTTATATTTACATCTTCAAAAGTCTCGAGTCAAACCACTCTAATATACTACAACCACAACCAGCAGAAGATAGACCCTAAGAAGGGTCCTTATACAAACCACCAAAACAAAAACAAACATCCTAACTGTCCAACTATTACAAACAAACTTAACTACACTAGTGTAAGTGCCAAAATCCCCGCGTCGGCCCCTGCTAAGGAAAACAAAAGGAATGGGGTAAGCTAAAAGCTTAGTAAGTATTCAGGCCAGTTTGGTGTGTTTTCTTTGCTATGTGTTTGAGATATGTGAAAGGGTACTTAGGCGAGGGTGTACTTTATCGCACTCGACCTAAACCCTAATTTGAATGTATAATTGTACTTGACATATGTATATGAACCTTTTGGAACCAAAACCCTTGAGCTTGTGGCTCGGGGCGACTTTCGAGTAAAGTTTGTGAATTTTGTGAAGTTTGTGAGTTCGTGGGGCCGATCTAAGACCTGTTTGGACTATTCGAGCCGGTTAGGGCTTGGTCGAAGTCAGTCCAACTTAGTCTGAGGTCACCAAGTTTGTAGGTTCATGTTATAAACCAATTTTGTGAATCCGGTTCACCGAGAAGGTGACCAAGTTTGTGACCCGAGCTTGTGACTCAAGCTCAAGTTTGTGATTTCGTTCGGCCGGGCAAGTTTGTGAGGTGACTGGCCAGTGAGGGTGATAAGGTGTCGGTGGGTGTACAAGTGAAGTTCTACGGACTATTATTTGCGGTCGACGGAGTGTCGGCAGGAGATCATACATGGCACATGAATTGGCTTTGGAGCCACCCGTATCCTTATTATATGATGTTGTTCTTTTCTGCTTTTGCTTTACTCTTATTGGGTAATTGTTGCTACGTGAATTTATGCTTTCGCCCCTGTTTACTTACTAAGCATATAGCTTACCCCTTTCCTTTTGTTTTCCTTAGCAGGGGCCGACGCGGGGACTTTTGGCTCGTATGCTAGTATAGTTAGATTGGCTTGTAATAGTTGAACAGTTAGGATGGTTGTTTTTGTTTTGGTGGTTTGTATAAGGACCCATCTTAGGGTCTATCTTCTGCTGGTTGTGGTTGTAGTATATTAGAGTGGTTTGACTCGAGACTTTTGAAGATGTAAATATAACTTTTGGGATTGTATATATTGTATATAGTGCTCTTTCAATCTATCTCGTTTGATTGCTTTAAGTTTTGAGTCCTGGCGCGAGCTAGGCAGGCGGCCCGCCGATACCCTTGGGTTCGCCCTTGGGAGAAGTGGGGTCGTCACACTTGTTCATTTGTAACACTAGTGACAACACTCTTCCCAAGGTTGGCCAGTGAGAGTTGAGCGTCCCCTACTTAACATTTATGAGTTAAGGAGATTTACTCCAACGACTTATGCAGGCATAGCATAAATAATCACTTAAACACTTCACTTAATTCACTTAACGAGTCACTTCAAGCAATTCAAGCATTTCATGTCAAGTAATTCAAGTACACTTCACTTAAATGAGAACGAGTGTGATAAAGTACACACTCAACTCAGTATTTCCAAAATATTCGATATCAATAGCATTTAACATGTATCACGTATTTCACACACTTGACACTCACCAATCACAAAAGAAACAAGTGAGCAATGTCCATTCGAGGGTTCAGGCATCCACCGTGGGATCCTCTTGAAGGTCCTCTTGAATGCTTGAGCAATTAATAATAAACTATTACACACTATCACTTAAAACCCCTAATTATTGAAGATAAGGAGATGTCGCGAAAATGAGCTTTAATTACTCATGAATCGAGGCTCAAAAGTGGGATTTAGTAATACAAGGAAATCTGATTTTCATCTTTAAGATCAAGTATAAAATGATCCAGCGATATCGAGGGACAATGGAGAGTTCTAAAAACTCAATTTCCTTAAGTTTGGAAATTTCAGATTTGACAAGTAATCTTTGAAAAATCGTATCTTACTCTCTGTAGGTCCAAAATTGGAAAACTTGGTACCATTGGAAACTACTTCCAAAGTACTAAACGTTACTAGAAGACACTTTTCCATGATTCAAAATGGAAGACATTCGAATTTCGGCTTCAAGTTGCTATTTTGGCTATCAAGACAGTTTTGGGGTTGGTTTTTGGCCAACTTTGAAAATTCGGCAAAATTTACAGAATGCGATATAGTCTCTAAAATTTGAAAATCAATTAGAGTTACAATCAAAGTTTAAAACACAACAAGCGGAACAAGAATCGAAGTTTTGAACACCAAAATATAGAGGCTCAAAGTTACTAAATTTTCCTCATTGAACAGGGATTTTCTAGATTTGAAGCATGAATTTTGAGGCTTTAGTTGGGCATCGAAATGGACTTGGAATGGCACCAAATTTGGCAGTATTATACTACCATATAAGGGCTATTCCTCTGTCAAATTTTGTTTAAAAATTCATACGGAAATTCAGTCAACAAAGCCACTAAAGTTTTCAAGAATTTCTAAGGCAAATCTGCCTTGTACTTCAATTTTCCTTTTCTCAAATATTTGGCCAACGACCACATCTCAAACATGGTTCATTTGTGAAGACAATGTATAAGAAACATTCAAAATGTGTTTGATAGGTGATTAACACCAAGGGTTTCAAAACAACAAGTCCCAATTCAAAATGAGCCATTGGCTAGCCCAAAATTAGGGTTTTCAATCACTAATGCATTTCTGAAATTTGGCCACAACTCACTCAATTTAACTTGGAATTGGGTGTGGTTTGTGGCGTTGGAAACTACATTTATAGGGCTACAATTTCTCAGAAGGAATCATTTTGAAATTCTGTCCATAACTAGCTCAAATTCAAGCAACAGGTTCTAACACATAATAGGCTTTCTAACACAACCGAGAAAGGGCAGGTGACTTTAAAAGGCTGGTACGGTTCGTTCAAGTGGAATCAGAGGATGAATTTTATACCGTTGGAAAACTGGAAATATCTAGTTTCTAATTCCGCAAACAGCACTCGATTTTGACATCGGAGCAAAGAGTTATGGTCAATTCAAAATCACTGCCAGAGCAACTCTGGACAGTTTTCCAGCCATGAAACCATTTCGAAATTTAAACATTTACCCAACCAAATCAAGTGATTTTTGGTGAAAACATTCCACACAACCTATACAACATATATACATCAAAATCAAGTCAATTTAACCACAAAAAATAGCACCAAGGAGCTCAGCAAAGACAGGGCAGATTCGGCCCTTCAACATGCAACACTTCCTTTGATTTCCTTTTCACTTTTACCACTTAGCTCTACTAGATTAACACTTAATCAACACAATTAACATCCAATCTCATCAAATCAGATCATCAACTCACAAGATTTCCAACAATCCAAAGCTACCCACATGAAGCTACAAGCTTCTAAGTGCAATATAACTTACATAAACTAAGATTTGAAGAGTGGATGATCATATACCTCCTTAGATGTTAAGACCAGAGATTTTCGATCCTCTAAAGCTCAAGAAAACCGTGGAAATAAAGCTCTTCTCCTAGCCTAAGATGATCTCCAAGTGATTTTGAGTGTGTGGTAGAAATTTGAGATGATTTGGTGTAAGTTTGAGTGAGATGAGATGAAGAAATTTTTGGGTCTTCTTCCTAGGGAGTGAAATCTGATGTAGTTAGTTTCTAAAGGAAGCTTAAGAGTTTGTGGCCCAAAATTACTCCAAGTCAACTAAAAAAATAATGCGCGCGCGCGTTTCGTGCTCATTTCCTCTCGGGTTTGTTTCACTTGTGCTCTAAACTTTTAATGCACTTCCATTCATACTATTATTATTCACTCTTAATAGTCTAAAAATAAGGGTCTAATATCCCTCAAATAATTGCGCGCGTGAAAACGTGTACTTCCGATTTGTGCGCGATAAAGCGAAATTTCTAAAGAATTCTTATAACGATGGCATAATTATCTAGTACTTGAGTACCTAATAATAAAAATACCTATTTTAAGACTAATGTTTAAGTCTTCAATTTCCAAGCTCATTGTACCCTCGAATCGATTATTATCTCCAAACGCGCATTCACTATTCTCACTAAACGAGCTTTTATAAATTAAATTTGGTAACAAGTCATTTTAAAAATACATGTAAGCCATAGTTCCATGTAATTGGGTTTACAAAGGTTGGAATAAAATATTCGGAGCAAACGAGCATTTAAATATTTAAACAAGCTAGAAATAGGGATTTAAAATAAGTAAATTTTGCGAGTCCTCACATCCTCTTCCCCTTAAGAGAATTTCATCCTTGAAATTATACCTTGATTTGTAAATAAGTCTGGATATTTTCCTCACATTTCTTCTTCAACTTCCCAGGTTGTCTCGTCTAGTCCATGGTTCCTCCAAAGAACTTTTACCAATGGAATCCACTTGTTCCTCAGTTCTTTCACCTTACTATCTAGAAGTTTCACTGGTTTCTCCTCATAGGTCAGCGCCTCATCAATTTCAATACTTTCCGGTTGTAAGATATGAGAAGGGTCTGGATGGTATTTCTTAGGCATGGACACGTGGAAAACATTATGAATCTGAGACAAACTCGGTGGCAGTTTCAACTTATACGCTACGTTTCCCACGCGTTGGATAACCTTATAAGATCCCACAAACCTCGGTTGTAAATTTTTTCCTTTTCCAGACATCAATCTTGCTTTTAGAGGTGTAATCTTAATAAATACTAGATCTCCAACCACAAATTCTGTGAGAACCCGTAATTTTCTCATTTTCGAGGTTTTATTCTCTTAATGGCATGTTTTCTGCATTTTCTTTATTAGGAAAATTTTTCCGATAATTTTTACGAGTAAATATAGTTTTTAGATGATTTTTCTAGTATCGGTTAGGTTTTGAGAAATTAAGAGCGTATACCGGATGTGGGACCCGCTAGTGTGGAAAGTTCGAAAAAATTCGGCCAACTAGGTTAAGTTTTGGATACTGGGCTTAAATTATCGGGTGCTAAGAGATAATTAGAGGTTACTAAGTGGATTGGTGTGAGAGGAAACAAAGTGATAGCTATGCATTTAATGAAGTGACAAGTGTCACTTAGAGATTGGTTGTACTTTATGACTACTATTCACCTTTTACCATTTGACCAAATAAATCAAAAAAAATACCAAAAATTCACCATTTTCTTCCTCATCTTGGCCGGCCACTTCAAACAAAAAGAAAGGGAAAAGCTCTTCAAATTCTTGCTTCCATCTTGCTCAAATTCAACAAATCAACCATTTGATCTTGCATTTGTTCCATAAAATCCCTTCACTTAGTGATTGTGAGGTGTTTAGTGGAGTTGTTTGGAAGGCTAAGGTGATTAGTTTCTCTCTCTCTTGTATTACTAAGGTGAGTAGTGAAGGAACCCCTCTCCTCCATCTAATGATGTTTAATTCATGATTTGTGGTAGCCTAAGAGGTAATTTTGTGGATTATATCTTGATTTTGGTTGAATTTGGTGAAGTTTTATATTTATTTGTGATTTTTATGTTTTCATATGATTATTATTGTGTGGCCATGTATGATGATTGGAAATGATATTGAAGGAAGCTAGAAGGTGTAAAGTGTGGTTAATTGCAGAAAATTTCTGTTTTGGAAGGAAATTTGGAAAGTTAGGGTTTCATTTCCTTCATTCTGCCTGGCACTGTTCATCATAGTTAGAGGCCGAATTAGCCTTGGGTTAAAACATGAAAGTTGTAGGGAATGATATTTTAGAGTTTCCTACAAAAGTTCAGGCCAATCGAAGTAGCGTAGCTTGTGAAAAGACTGAAATACCCCTGCTGCCCTGTTTTTACACGAACTTGAGAATTTCTTCTGTAATTGGTTAATTTGGTTGGGAATACTTCTGATTTGGTTGTTGAGGTCTTCTGAAGAAATGTATCCTGATGTCTTAGCTTTCGGATGGCTTTGGAATCACTTGATTTGGACTTAGGTAGCCTGAATTACAGTTCGTTAACCAGAATGCGGTTTGCTCACCTATTTTTGCAGTTCTGGTTTAGTGTCCTGCATTTTTCACCTAGTTTCACTATGAACTGGACTGAGTGACCTTCTTCAACATTGTAGCCCTATTTTTTAGCTTCGAAACGGTGTATCTTGCACCTCCATCCGATAATCGTAGTGCCAATGGTGCCAAAACCGCAAAATTATGTCAAAAACTGTTTTTTTTTGGATTAGAGCTTAATTCCATTTTCGGATTTCCCTGGTTTACTCTAGTGCATATACATTCTAGTGGAACCTTATTTTGGTGGTATGTGGATTTGGTTATGACTTGTAATCAAGTCTTATTATGCTTATTTGAATGTTTTAGGACGTGACGGTGGTCCACGACGCTCATTAAGCGGAAGTTGATGAAATCTCATTTGCTTGCTTGGTGAGTGTACTACTCACTTGTTTATTTACAATGTGGTTTTGCTATACTTGAACTTGATGCCTTGAGGGCCTATTTGCCATTGAAACTGATTAAAGTGAGGGTGTACTTGATCGCCCTTACCCCTTTTGATACTATATACGATTGTTTACTATTTCACTGTGGTATTTAAATGATACCTGATATACTGGATTTGATGTCGGTTGGACGAGTATCGAAAGACCATTACTATTACTACGGAGCTCAACCTCATTGGTAATCAATTGAATCGAGCCGGCGAGGGCTTGGTCGTGAAAATTGACGATCCATGGGGACTGTTATATGGAATCTTGTAGTAGTGAGACTCTTGATTTCGGTATACTCGAGTATTACCAAATTTATACTATTTGGAGTTCGGGCCCGGTAGGGGTATGTTGGGTGGAAGGAATGGAAGTAAAGTGGAGCCTACGATTGGTTACTCTTAAACATTGACGGAGGGTCAATGAGGTTCGATCAAGAATGCAAGCGAGGAAAGGGGCTCTTGAGAGCCGCCCGTATCCTTTTATCAACTCTATTAATGTGTGCTCTTGGTTTACTTTTGGATAATTTGAAATGAAAAGCTTTATGCTTATATGAACTTGGTTGCTTGAGTGATAGTATCTCACTGGGCGTAAGCTCACTCTATTCTGTTTGTTTTCCTTACAGGAAATGGAATACTTTTGGAAAGGTGATGAATGTGGATTGCCGAGTTGAGCTTATGTATATATATATTTTGAATAGCTCCTTTTGGGCAAAACCCTAAATTCATTTTGACCCAACCCATCGTTGAATTGTAATTTGCAACCGTAGATATATAAAATTATGGGATAATTTGGTATGCCATTTTTGTATGTAAATGTTGAATTTCAAGATGTGTATGTTTATGTGATGTGTGGCCGGATTCTGACGTGGCCGGTACTATTCATGGCCGGCTCCGATTTTCATTTTTTTTACTGTGACTTGTTTAAGCGCGCTTGTAAGTTCTGGAACGTCTTAAATCGCGTTGATCTGTCCCGTAGTCCTGGCGAGAGTTGGGCAGACAGTCCGCTAACCCCTTTGGTTCGTCTTAGGGGAAGGTGGGGCTGTCACAAATTCTAAGTCCTTCCTTCGATTATCTGCATAATTCTTTTGACGATTTTGTACAGTCTGAATCCTCTGACGTACCAACTTTACTTTTTCATTCACCTCCTCAATCCAAGGCACTGTAGTCGGGTCTAAGATTTTGCATTCACCTACTTCATCCCAACAAATCGGAGATCTACACTTCTGACCATAGAGTGCTTCATACGGAGCCATTTGAATAGAAGAGTGGAAGCTATTATTATAGGCAAATTCCACCAGTATAAAAAATTTACTCCAACTCTCCCCAAAATCCAACACACAAGTTCTCAATATATCCTCAAGAGTTTGAATTGTCCTTCCAGACTGTCCATCGGTCTGGAGATGGTATGTAGTACTGAAGTTCAATTTAGTCCCCAACACCTCTTGCATTTTTTGCCAAAATCTCGAAACAAATCTAGGGTCTCTATCAGACACAATATTTACAGGTATACCATGTAACCTGATAATCTCATCCAAGTACAATTTAGCTAACCTCTCCAATGGGTACTTCATATTAATCGGCAGAAAATGAGCCGATTTAGTCAATCTATCCACTATTATCCAAATGGCATCATGACCTCTTTGTGTCCTAGGTAACCCTGATACAAAATCCATAGTGATGTTTTCCCACTTCCATTCAGGTATCTCCAAAGGTTGTAAAAGTCCTGATGGTTTCGGATATTCAACTTTTACCTGTTGACAAATCAAATAGGTTTGGACAAATTGAGCAATCTCCTTTTTCATTCTCTCCCACCAATACAAACTCTTCAAGTCCTGGTACATTTTATTCCCTTCCGGGTGTACAAACTCTTCTGGACAAATGAAGCAATACAAACTCTCAAGTCCTTATTCCTCCCAAGCTCCTCTGAACAAATGAAGCAAGCAGTCTTGTTAGCATTGGATGATCTTTGCAACAAGAGAAAGGTCATTCGTGAATATCTTAAAGGAGATGCTTGTCTAGATCAAGCTTTTAAGGAGCCTGAATTGATTATTAAAGGAAAATGTCAAGCTTGTGTTCCATACAAGAAGAGGAAGAAGTTCAAAAGATTCAGCAAAAGTTATAAGCAATTCTCAAGGAGACCTTTCAGAAAGAAGTGGAGATACTTCAAAAGGAAAGGCAAACCATTTAGAGGCAAGAAGGGAAACAAATGTTTCATTTGTGGAAAGCCAGGACATTTTGCAAAAAACTGTCCTCAAAACCAAAAGGGAGAAAACCTTATTTCAGAAATTCAGAGTGAATTTAATTTACAATTTTCTGATATCGAATCTGAATTTTCTGAACAGGAAGAAATAACTAATAACACTCTTTTGGCTTTACAGGTTCCTGATGTTCTTATGATAAGAACAGCTTATCCACCACAAGAAAGGGTTACTCATCCTCAAGCACTTGTTCATATTCTTATGGATAAGTATTCTACACCAATTCCTTTGATTGCATTTTTTGATACTGGTGCAGCCCTTTCAATTATGAAAAAAGTTGTTTTACCAGACAAATATTGGACTACATACACTCATGAGTTTAAAGGAGCTGATGAGAATTCTTTTTACACTACTTATATTACCAAATATCCCATTACTCTCAAGTTTCTTCCTAATTGTTCCATAACAACTCAGTTTTTGGGAGCCAATTTGATGTCTGGAAAAGACCTTTTACTTGGATTTGACATCTACAGGGAAAACAAGTTTTTCAGCATAGCTAAAGGGATAAGATCAAAAAAGTTTTTTAAACCTTTTATTGATATCCCAAAGCTTTATTTACTAGATGATACAAATCCTTCTTTGGAAGAACAACTCGAAGATTTTCATCATAAAATTATCCATGAGTCATGTGCTTCCAATCATCAAGAGTTTTTACAAAAATGTGACCATCCATTGTGGGAAAATTCTGATTTTTACATCTGTTTTCCTTTCAGAAGAATGAGGATATAAATCCCACGAAAGCTAGTCATTCAGGAATGAATCCTAATGATACTAAGTTTGCTGAACAAGAATGCCAAGAACTCTTGAACTTTGGTTTGATTTTATTCTCAATGGGCATGCCAAGTCTTCTATGTCAACAAGAGATCAGAACAGGTAAGAGAAAAAATGAGTGCAACATGCAAAGTTCTTCTCATCAACCCGATAAAAAGAGCATTTTCACCACCAGGAACTACAAGATCTAGTGCTTGATTTTGCACTCGATAAACCATTTGGTAATTAAGTGTTGCTGCAATTGCATCAGAAATGTGATCTGCCCCAACAATTTGCACCTGTA